TGTTGGCCTGCGCGGTATCTGGTGGGTGCAGCGACATGTTGGGTCCAAGCGCTCTGTTGAACGACTTCTAACAGCGCCGCTGCAAAAGGTCCGCCTGATTCGACGCGCTGGAGTGCAATCCAGGAGGCCTTTGGGGCGTTGAAGTCACCTACCAGCAGGAGATGAGTGAAATGGTAGTTGGAGGAGAGTTGCCCAAGGGACTATGATCGATGTCACTGGCTTTGTCGGTGTCATTTTCCATCAAGATTGTGTGATTGATCGTCTGGAGGTGTAGGCAGTCGTAAGAATTATTAAGAAAAATCTTCTGAGGGCCTTTGATTCATCGCCCAATAGCGACAAGTGTTTTTTAAACAACTGCCTCTTGAGTCTCCCAGTAGCTCGAGGCTAATGGGCTGGCGTGACTGATTTGATGTGCGTGGACTTCACCGAATTGTTTGACATAGTGTCAAACGAACAGCTTCTCTGCAGGTCGAATTTTTCGCTCCCAATATTTGAGGTATACCAGTGATCTGACGCTCGGAAGGCAGTCTCAAAATATTACACAACATGTATTGACACCCTGCATACCCGTACTTCAGTAGTGATTGTTGCTAAACTACATACCCTTTGTTCTCATTGAGGCACCTAGACCGCTTAGTTTTATCACGTTGGCAGGAAGTTTCTGAGTACATCTACGTCTGAGGAAGCTCTCGAGTTCGTGGCCACACGTGTATTTGTGTGCCCCCGACACTGTCAGTAACATAGATCTCACCGCCAGACCCTATGGAGTTATTCGACTTCGGTCTCTCTGTGAATGTGCAATGCCAATTGTTCCGTTTATTCCCCAGGTAGCGGCATGTGAGCAGCAGCCGAAGAGTCCGGGTGGCATAAACCAATTCATCCTTCGACTGCAAGTTGATTGGGTTATGATGCTACATCTGTTAGGTGACGATCGAGCGACTCAATGGAGAGATGTCAAAAGTCTTGTCCTCAAGCTTTTGGCAACTTGTAAATAAGGTTCGTCTTGAAACGGATAAAACTCAAAAGAGAACAGTAGGATAACAAAGAAACGAATGGTGTTGGGCAAGTTGTGCGAGCAGGAGTATATCAGAACTCTTGACAGTGAATTACTTTAACTCTTCCTATAAAGAAACAACACCATCGAAGGGACATTGATGTCTCTCAAAGGTATTTCTTTAGGGAAATTACTGTGTCCGCAGGAAGATAATTTATGTACGGAGTTTGAAGGGTCTTGCAATTAGGGAATACCGCGGTTGGCGGCACGTATTGCGGTGCTGAAGTATCTGACTTGAGGTGAACAGGTGTTCATTAACCCCCATCCGGTCGGAATCTTGATTATGTCTTCGCACTCATTTGTTATGCGGTGAATTTCGGTGCTATAATACCCCTATGTTAACAGGTACCGCAAAGTTATCACAGGTATAAAGTAGGTTACATGTTACACGGATCATGAGGTCGAAGCAAATCATACAACTGTGAATGTGACTAAGGTGAAATAAAGAGGATTAAAACAATTCTATTTGGCTACCAGTCTTGTGGATTGTTTCTATATCTTCCCTAAATTTCAAGCAGATGGCGCTGATATCGTTGAAAACGGGGAATATACAACAGTCAGGACACGCAACAAACAGGTATTTGGTATGGTGTCAACTGTATGGCCGAGATCATTGATGGATGGCCGACGGGATGATGTGATATTTGTGGTCACAACAATAAGATTCTTGAAGCTCACGGAGGCTGTAGTGATATTGTGTGTTTGGTTCCATTGGAACGCAACCAACGAAGAACGTATTGCTTTACAGTCTGCCATGGATAAAAAGACTACTGGCCCTGGTTTGTACCGACGAGGTTAACTTTTGTGTAACTTGCTGGACCGATAGATATTTACTGGTGACGGTGCTAAGCTTTCCTCCTAGCAGAAGGAAGAAGACCGCCTGTATTGTTCATGGGTAGATTGAATGCTACAAGCAGAAAGCCTTTTGCTAGAGAGCATACTCATGAACCATGCTAGAACTGCTAGTCAGTTGGATGGCTTTCATACGAACCATAACACCACAGCGCTTGCTGCGGATATATTTTACACTGCTGTGATATTTATAAATGCACAGTGCGTATCTTAGCAACGCTGGAAGTGCAAAATCACGTGAACGTCTGGCTATTCTCTGTCTTGATCCGATCTTGAACACGACGGAGTTTTTGGAGCTTCAACAAAAGAACGGTGATTACTGTCTAACCGATTGCGCAAAACCTTTCTTTAAAGGTCCCTTCTTTATTCTCACAGGTGGTTTACGTGGTCTACTTGCACTTCTCACTTTGTCATGGCGCCATCTCCGACGCCTTGTCCTTCCCAACATCTTTCTTACAGTGTCCCATTAATGAAATGTTTCAACTTGTTGAAGTGTACTACAATCGACAGTGTTCGTGTTGTTTTTTATGAACCCGTTCAAGCAAGCCTCTTTCTATCCCACAAATGGACTGTGCTATCGCAAAACTCGAGTGTCTGCGCCAGTTGTGAGTTCCTATGAACATTGAGAGATGAAATACACAAACACGACTTTTTGCGCCTGTCGTATCTAATGGGGGATGTCTCGGCTGACAAATTGGAATCCACAACCGCGACAGCGGCTGTCTGGCCATGAGGATCTCGTGGCCAGTGGTGCGAATGTGTTGTAGGCTTGATTATCGTTTATTCTTTCGCTCTGGTGCTTGAAGTGCAGAGAAGTGCTATAGACGGAGTGTTTGGAGTGCAAAAATGAAAGGATTTACTTGTTGACGGCGTCGATTAGGGACTCGCTGGGTAAACATAATAGTGTGGATTAACGAGTGGACGTGAGGCGGCGGGAGTCAGTATCAGCATGCCGATTGACCGACTAAATGACGTTTCCACAGCACATGAGGAGGATGTTATGGATAATAATTGAGAAATCAGGGTGAGGTAGCTCAGTGGTTGAAGCGCGAATCTAATAAACGGAAGACTCCTGGTTCGAACTCGACCTCCTCATCTCCACTGTCCTGTCTAGGTGGCAGTGTCCCATCCCTCGTGATTCCTTCGGGTGACATGGCAGCTAGGCACCGAAAGGATTTTATAGCTGAATGATCTTTTTAACCGAGAAAAATGTAGTGCCTCGTTAGTCTTTTTTCAACCTCAAACCTAGCATTTGCACTATCTCTCCTACGATAAAATCCTTCTCCAATGATCGTTTTCTGACTAGGTGTTGCTCTAAATCCCGGTGCACAAGAAGGCACGAGGTCGACACCGCCTTTTGATGTGAATTTTCTCTTCGATTTTGCTTGATGATGTTTATAGTTGGCACTGTTGCCACTCTGGATCCGTTGTACAATGAATAAGTATTGGAGTTTTCTCACACATAATCCGCGTTTCTCGCTTCTGCACCTAATTGAGTAGATGCTACTTGACCTTATGAGCTAAGTGGAGCCATATCTTCCGTCTCGTGTTATGAAAAAGCTCAATAACGTGAAATTTAGTTAAATTGCAATTCTGACTTGAAGGGATTTGATTCGGTTGATATATATTTCAAGCTTCTCTTAATTTTTACATCCCTCCTAGATATATCACCTTCACTGCGCAATAACTCCCATTCGTGTGCCAGCTTGGAATGCTAAAATGTTTGCTAATTACCAGCAACATTGGATCGCTAATAAGCAAGGCATGTGTGGAGGTGGACCTACATTTCCATATTTTAGCCTCAGTTGGAACCAGAATGGATGCAACAGATTTGCGACGTAAGCACATTAGTAGTCTCATTCAGAAAATGTTTCATTTCCTACAGGTTCTTGCCACGACTCAACCAGATGTCTTTGCAATTCATTTACAAGAGATAAATGGCCAAGTTGGCTCTAGCCATGTCTCGCGCCTTGAGAATTTCCTCAGGTATGCCTCAGTGGTTTTGTACTATTTGCCATTCTACCACGCACACAGAACATTACTGGAACGTACTCACCTGGAACACTCATCCCAACGAAGCTTCGTCATATTCAATTCTGAAGGTACTTCTGTGGACGATCCAGAGTTCGCCGTAAGATACCTCTGAATTCGGCTAGCAATCCGCAGGCTTTAGGGTCTATTTATTGGTTTCAAACCGACCGACATCTTATCGAAAGTTGGGACTATACAGGTACAGTGTCATTCCGACCGTACGTTGACTTTAATCTCCAGCTTGTAGGTTCGTTCCGTTCACCGACGAAATTGTGAGCCGTATTTCAAACAATCGGTTACGCAAAACTTCGGGCTCGCGCTTGGAAACCCACCTCGACCAAAGACGCTTCCCAGCTGACATGTTTCCATCAGTATGTCTTAACTATGCATGTGTTCCCTGCTTCAGATTTTTCGGTTTCACCCGTCGTTAAAGACAGCTTTTATAAACTCCGTTATTTTCAAGGGTTACAGTGTGGGCTGAAATATGTTTTCATGATGATCTCTATGATAATATGGGTGCGGTAGTTCTGATGCTGTCGGAACGTTTGGATACATTCCGTTGGATGTTTGCCGCAAAAAAACTCAATGGCGCTTCTCTTATAATGCCTCCTAACTGTGATCATTTAGGTTTGTGTGCTTTAGCCAAAATGATGATGGTAGTCAAAAGTGTATCATAAATAAGAGTTCATTTTGATAGTTTCGGGAACTGATTCGGTTCCAGCTGCATGAAACGCCAATTCAGAAGAATATGTTTTCGGTCGAGGCCTGGTCGGTAAAGTTTATCCTGAGGAGCGATGTGGTTGTGAATAAGTTGAAAACGGTTGATCTAATGCACCATTTTAACATTTCCGTAGTTATTCGCCTTTCTACTTTTTCCCTTTGGAGAACGAAGAGTTACTGGTTTTAGAATTAATGAGCTGGGGGAAGGTGTGCGTTCTCATTCTCACAGATGAACATAACATCCCTTAAGTTATTATTTTTTCCCGGAATGAGAATAACAACCGGTGCTTACTAGGAGTGTCTTTTCCCGAGCCGGAATCTACCAAAATGATCAGGTGCGCGTCGAAGTAGGAATTAACTACAAATGGAGTTTACTGTAAGGAATTCATCAACCAATAAATCCCTCTCTAGATTACCAAGGGATATACAGTGACCATATAAGTCAGGTCCCCAGTTCGCGGTGGCATGCTTTTGTTGTGTATGTGCGGAGCAATCTCAAATGTGTAGGTGTTCGCGAAGTGGCATTCGATAGATAGGGTGAGGTTGTATTCACGGTCTTTGATCTGCACGATACTGACTGTTCTGCTACCCTTAGAGGGAGCTGCCTCTCAAATCTGGGAAGGTAATTCTCCAATACTCACATGTGGATCGACAAACCATGTGGCCTGGTGGATGCCCTTTGGTGGGACTGGAACCCCGTTTCCCATTTAAAGCAAAGCAAGTGTAATCGAAATCGTTCAGCTGTATAACCCTTTCGATGCCTAGCTGCCATGCCACCCGAAGGAAACACGAGGGCTGAGATACTGCCAGGTTGCCCAAGCCTAGACAGGGGAAGTCGAGAGGCAGAAGTCGGGTTCGAACCACGAACCTTCCGGTCAGTAAATTCGCGCTCTAACCACTTGGTCCATCTCGCTAAGCATGTGTGACCGTGTGTATTAAATGACCAATGTTAAATTCTCATCAGGGGTCCTTCGAAAGGTGGTGATGAAGAGAGAAGAGTCCCATCCGGCTTTACCAGTAGTTTAAAATGGTGTCTCATCTACATCATGTTTGCACTTTCCCGTCCTTTCTCCCAATTAGCCTCGTTCGATTTTCTGAATCATTCTCCGTTAATTCGCCCAAAACGTAGCCACTAAATATCACAGCAAACTTGTACAAAGTGCTGCACAACAGGAGCGCTAGTGCGTACTCAGTTGGAAAAAACATTCAACTAATCTTACTTACTGCCCAATGGTGAGGGCACGAATTTACTGTCCGAAAGATCCGTGGTTCGAACCCAATCTCTGCATCTTGACTGCTCCTGTCGAGGCTTGGGCAGCCTGGGAGTACCTCAGTCCTCCTGCTTTCTTCGGATGGCCTGGTAGCTCGGCACAGCTGATTCATCGTTGTTATCAGTACCATTGTTGCTGCTTTTCGAAGTTTTACAATAGGATCGCCAGCTCACTCGCATTCTTAGTATTATTACTTGGCGGTCTGTCTTTTTTGTCGACTTCCCCATCCATAATGTGCGCCTATGTTGAAGGGAGCGTTTAGAAGGAGTGAACTATTTACAGAACATCACGACCCAATGAGTAGATTGATGGGGCTTAGGAAGTAAAGTTTGTCGTCTGGTTTGTTGCGTCCGATTGCATTGATTCGGTTCGGAGGTTCGTTATTTCTGGTTCCTTCAAACACGTGTTCACTTCTGTACGACTCCTTCGTGAACTCACTGACACCATGTTGTGATGACCTCCTTAAAGAACTAATTTTGCATTCCGTAAAAACACTTTTAAATGAAATTATCTCAACTTCCGATAAAAGGGTAGGTCAAACCAGGCAAACTAACATGGCAACCTTACTTATAGGCTCACTTTTGTCCATCGTAAATATTACCGTCCTACTTTCTCGGAATGGCCAAACACCAATTGAGAGGGTTCTACCTTTTGGCGTTTGATTGGGAACTTAATTTTGGGATCTTAATTTCGCCTTCTTGTATCACTGTCCGGTTACATGAGTTTGTACAAGCCTGATTCCCATATTCCCCTTCCGAAATGGGCCCACAACAGTATAGTATTTGATTGGGAATTTTGGGATCTTAATTTCGCCTTCTTGTATCACTGTCCGGTTACATGAGTTTGTACAAGCCTGATTCCCATATTCCCCTCCCCT